AGTCGACCGCAGTTCAAGTCCTGGACCCAGTGGCTTAAACTCATGCCGAGCATGTGTGCGCGTGTGCCCAAAATCCCAAGAGAATAGAGAAGAAGGGACTGCAGTGTGGTCATCCACCCGGGGGTGATTTCTTGCTTTCTGTCTTTCTGTCTCTCTCTGTCTTTCTGGCAAGCACACGTGCCCTATCACAAAAAACTCTAAAAAAAAAATAATGTGTAACAGTTGAGGAGAAAGTATTAATAGCTCCATTCACAGATGAGCAAACAGACCCAAGAAACTCACAGCAGATATTCAAATCTATTTCTATTTGAATGTGTTCTTTCCCATTCTACTATTTTCCAATAAGTCTCCTTACTATATTATTTTAATCTGTAATTATTTTAAATGGGCATGCTTGCTAAATAGTACACAGGCTAATATTTTACTATACAACTACTATGAGGAGACTTCAAAAAGTTCATGTAAAATAGAATTAGAGTACAAATTTATTTTGGTGCAAAAAATGTTTTGAAATCCATACACAATTTCTTTCATAATATGCACTTCCATTAACTTTTTTTTTTTTTTTTGGAGAGGTTTTATGCTATAGGGCGCGTGCGCTTGCCAGACAGACAGAGACATACAGACAGAAAGCAAGAAATCACACCCCAGAGGGGATGGTCATGCCGCAATCCATTCTCCTCTCGGGATCTTGGGCACACAGGCACACGCGCCCGGCGTGAGTTTTAAGCCACCGGGTCCGGGACGCAAACTGCAGTCGACTACGTGGGAGTCCAGCAACATAGCCATTACATTAACTGCTGGTTCCCGACTTCCATTAACTTTTTGAAGATAACTTGTAAGTCAACTCCACTGCATGTAGTCCCACTGGAAATAAAACACACAAACACTGCCTTTAGAAATCTGAAAACATACATACCAGGAAAGAAAATAATGAGCCTCTTCAGAAAATTCACCTACCATATGAAGAATTAGGTCTTAAAGAAAACTCTGTCCCACCTTTTTTAGGCTACTGTCACATTAGAAGAAAAACATTACATTCTTATCAATATGAAAACTAACATCGGGCAAATTTCAACTTATTTATAAAATACTACTGCCAAAGTACAGAGGGCACCATAGACCAAAAAAGGTGTAAGGACTAAAGTCAGGTTCTGAGAATTATCATTGATCTCTTCAATGTTCTTTTTGCTCTGAGATTTACTATGGTGAGCTGTCAAATAGCAATAGCCTGGAGAAACTCATCATCAAGACGTACCTCATCTGAGTCTTGTGACTTGTTGGTTTCTTCATTTAGAACATATTGTCCTCTGTAAAACTCCCTGATTCTTAGATTTAACGATTCCGTTTCTTTTTTCAAGTTCTCATAACTTGGCAATGGTTTACTGGCTGTACCTGAGCATTTGAAAGGTAAAGACTCATCCAAACTGTTCTGAGTTTCCCTCTGGGTGGGGAAATTACTATCTGGGTCAGTGTTTATGTCATCCTCATCAAGTTCTTCTTTAGCTGGAGAGGCTGAAGAGGGATTTGGACACACAGAAGCGTAATTCTGGCCATACAAAAACTTCAAAGTTTCTTCTGTCTTCCACTCAATCAAAGTCTCCTTCAGAACTCTAAGTAAGTTTGTCTTTGCAACCTCAAGACACACTTGCGCTGAAGTGGAGGTTGACCTAGAAACTTGGTTTGATTTGGCAAATTTCCTCTTAAAATGCTCAGCACTTTTCTTACTTATGCCTACTAGAGTTATTTCTGACCTACTGTATTTATTTTCAGAATTTTCTGGCACTTTTAATCGTTCATGCAAAGGAGTATTTGAAGCAATCTGACTATTTAGGTTCTGTAAAGGAAGTTCACAAGCAGTAGCTTTTTCCCAACTATCTAAACTGCAATTGCCTAACTGTTCAGTGACATCTTCTACTATCTGTTCTTTATCTTCATGTTTGGAGTTAGCTTTTTGATCATCTTTCTTTTTTATGCTTTTCGTGTGTGTCTGTGGCCTTATACCCATCGCATCTGGTCTGTTTCCTGGCAGCATGGAGGAAACAAAGTCTTGCTCATTATCACTGCTACTATCACTATGGGTGCCAGAACTAGATTCGTACTGCTTTTCAAAATGATCGTGATTGTCGATTTCTGATGTTTTAATGGCTTTACTGTATAACTGTACTTCTTCTCCAGAATGGCCACTGTAGAAGGAAAGATAAACAAAATAACCATAACAGGAAAGCATAGTGTCCCACAATATTTATATTTTGTAACTTTCAAGACAAAAATTTTTATCCCCAAGGCAAAGCCTTTAGGTTCTAATAAATTGCCTTCAGAAGGCAACTATAATTTCCTTATATCCAAATATCCAATATATATTTGATATCAATAGTTTATTCTCTATCTTCTTCTCTTCTTTCCTGCAGTCAGTTTTAAATTGTTAAAGGAATACAGCAGAACCGAAACCAACCAAACCAAAACAAAACCTTGATAATTCTATCCTATTGACGTATATTGACTTATTTTGATTTTTGCTTGTTCTGATTCTGTGGCTGTTTATATAACTTTTCTTCTTGTAAAAGAAAAGTTTTTCTTTTCTTTTATCTTTTTTTTTTGGAGAGATTTTCACTATAGGGCATGTGCGCTTGCCAGACAGAGAGACAGAAAGCGAGAAATCACCCCCCAGGGGGGATGGTCACGCCGCAATCCCTTCTCCTCCATTCTCCTCTCGGGATCTTGGGAACACATGCACACGCACCCGGTCTGAGTTTTAAGCCACCGGGTCTGGGCCGCAAACCACGGTTGACTACGTGGGAGTCCAGCGACATAGCCATTATGCTAACTGCTGGTTCCCAAAAAGTTTTTCTTTTAAAAACTGTATTATTGCTTCTTGAAAAGATATAAGAACTCTGTTTATAGGTTTAAAAGATAAAGAGATGGGTAAATATCTTCAAATTCTAAATTTTCATTACACAGAAAATTCTACAGAATTAAAAACATAAAAGTCATAGCAGAAAATAAAGTTCACAAATCAAAACTTTCCAGTGAATGATATTTAAATTTTAAAATACAGAGTTATAATAGAATGCTAACAATAAAGGACAATAGTTGTCTCTCTGACTGTGCTCTTTAATTTTCAGATTAGGTCTGAATAAATTAAAATCTGTAAAAGAGGGAAGGCAAAGAGTAGCTTTGTCAATACAAACTTGAGACAAACAAGGATAGGTGAGCAGTTGCTCTCAAGCAAATGCAAATATCAGACTTTAAAAGATCAAGATGAAAAGGATTCTGGGTCAAAAGACATGCTAAGAAGAAGTACAAAAGAAAAAAAAAAACCAGTTGTGGATAAGAACAGAGAATACTTAAGAAGTATTTTTGGTATTACAATAGATAAACTTTTTTGGTTAGAATCTCAGCTATATAGTTATGGAACTGTCTTTTGGATTAGAAGAAAAATGAACATAATTTTAAGAAAAGTAGAACAATTCAACTTTCATATACTTTATATTTTCTCTTGAAATTTTAAGGCAATTATATTTTTCTATACCATTGAGAAGCTATAAAGATATATACATCAATACACAAATATCTCTTACTTGTGTGCAATTCTAAGCCTAAATGAATAACTTAGAACCAGGAATATTTCTTCTGAGTCAAAGGATGTATTTTAAGAGATGGCCATGATTTGGACAAGCAATACCATGATGAGTTCAGAAGGAAAAAAAATCACAACTGGGGAATTTATATTAATGCATTAATGGCTAAATAACCGATATAGTAGTATCTTGAAATCCTTTAAAATAAGACTATAAAAAGCTTTTCAACAAATGTAATTGGCACAGTCTAGTTGACAAAGCACAGTATCTGAGATGGAGGTTGTATTTCAACAGGTTCAATTAGACTTCCTCAGTAGGAACAGCTGTACAATAAATCATATAGCTCAAATACATTATCTTACCATCACAAAAGAAAAAGCTGAACAGGTCAAATATTCCTTTGTGTGGGCTACAATGAGACACTTACATAATCCATCAGCACAGGAAGTTCAAGAGCTCATGTCACCTGCTTTACTCCTAATGTTTCTATTAACAGGAATATATAGAATGTAAGTGATACTGATTCAACCATACCTTTCTCCTTCCTTTAGCAGCTGAAAATCAGGGTATCTGTGACAAAAACATATAAATACAAAACTAAGGATAATTGACTTGTCAAACGCTTTCAAGTGTTTATTATAACTACATTGGGTAAAAAGAGTAATAAAGAGGAATAACTCAGGCCCAGCAGCAGTGATGTGTGCTAAGACATTGTGCTCCGCAGGATGGGAATCCTGTGAGAGGCCCACGTTCAACCTAAAGGCTAGCACAGTGATTACACACCTGCAATTCTAGTGATTCAGAAGGCTGAGGCAGGAGGTTTGTGAGGTCGTGGCTGGCCTAGGCAACATAGTGAGACTAGTCTGAAAGAACGAGATGAAGTGACAGGCATCTATAATCCCAGCTGGGAGGCTGAGGCAGGAAGACTACAACAGAGTGAGACCATGCCTTAAAAAGGGATGGGGGTGGGGTGGGGTAGTTCATATAAGGATTGTTTAAGAAAAATATTAAAAGACAAGGTTCTATGGGCCTGTCAGTGGCATAGAGGTTAAATTAAAGTGGCTGCATCCCACATGGCTGATGGCATGGTTCAAGTCTCGGACCATGAGGCTTGAGAAACATGCAAGGTGTGTGGTGTGTGTGCACACATGTGTATGTGCCCAGAGTCCTGACAGGAAAAAGGAGGGGAAGGACTGCAGCATGACGACCTTCCCGGGAGATGCTGGGGAGTGGTTTCTTCCGGTCCCCACCACTCCCCTGCCACCATCTCTCTCTGGCAAGTGCACACACTACAGTAAAAAAAAAAAAAAAAAAAAAGACATGGTACTGTAACACTCATTGGCAAAAAATCTGGATTTGTCTCTCATGTAAAATGTACTCATGTTTCAGGACTAAGTTCAAATTTCACCAGTCCAATAAAGTTTCCCTTGACTAATATGGTCTAAAGTAAACTACTCCCTACTCTAAAATTCCAGAGTTGTCACTGTCTATTGGATTAATATAATTTTTTAAAAAGCTTATTTATTTTATGACAGAGAACATGTGCATGCACATGAGAAGGAGGCAGAGAGAGATACAAGGGAACAGAGGAAGAGAGAAAAGCACCCTCAGAAGAGTCTCATCACACTAAGATCCCATTTCCCCAGCCCTCCAGCTTGTCAGATCTTGGGTATGAGCACTTATGCCTAGCATGTCCTCAAACCCACCTGGGGATTTGAATCTGTGCTCAGCCACATGGGTTCCAGCACTGCAGCTCAGTTTGTTACTGACTATGCCACTAGGCTGGGCCTGTATAATTAATATATGTTCAAATCTAGTTTCTTAATTAGACTTCAAGATCATTAATGGTAGAAATTATGTTTATATTAATAATTCCAGAGATTATGTTAATAATTATGTTGATAGTAATATATGTTATGTTAATAATATTAATAATTCTTTTATATTTCCCTTAGATGGACAAGAAAACTTATGCCTTAATTTTGCCTTAAAACATTTATATTGCAGCATAAACATGAACTCTAGAAAGAATTTTGCTATGCAATACCAAAACTCACATTTGACCATCACAGATATTAAAAAAGGAGAAGAAAAAGCTCTTCTAAAGCCTGATATAAAGAGAAGCAAGCATAAGAGCAAATGAATCCATGAGGACAGGAAGACTCTGGGGTCAGCTCTACGGCCTCAGGGTTATGGAAGTCAGATACCACATGGTCAACTACAGTTAGAATCCCAGCCTTGGTGGCTTGAAAAACATGCTTAACATGTGTGTACCTATGCCAAGGATTCTGACTAGAAGGAAGGAAAAGGAATAATGGCATGACCAGATCTGATGAGGGGCAGGGGATTTTTTTCTCTCTGGTGCATGAGTGTGCCCTTTGAAAAAAGAGTCATGACCAGCACATGGCACAGTGGTTGAGGCACTGGAATCCCACATGGTTTGAGTCATGGACCTGGCAGCTTGCTTTCTTACTTTCCCTCCCTCTCTGTGTGTCTCTCTCTCATGGGTACATGTGCCCTACAGCAAATGAAAAATAATAAATTAAACTAAATAATTCCTTTAAAAAAAGAAAGAAAAGAAAAAGTCAAGCTAAATGGGCAGATGGAACCAGAACTCATTTGAATTATAACATTTAAAGTCTGACAATGAAAAATGTCAGAGTGCAAGAGTTTCCTATATCATTTTCTTTTTTTTTTTTAAAGAGAGATTTTTGCTATAGGGCACGTGTGCTTTCTGGATAGACAGAAAGATGGGGAGACAGAAGCAAGAAATCACCCCCTGGGGGGATGACCACGCCACAATAACTTCTTCATTCTCCTCTCAGGATATTGGGCACGCATGCACTTGCAACTAGTGTTAGTTTCAAGCCTTTGGGTTTGGGACTCAAACTTCACTCAGCCATGTGGGAATCCAACAAGTAACCATTATGCCATCTGCTGGTCCCAAGTTTTCTATATGATTAAACATTGCACCAACAACTTTGTAACCATTGCTTTGATAACTACATTCATCCTTTGTTCAGTACCAAGTTTAAGAGGTGCTATAGGGAATGGCTTCTCTTGTCAATCCTTTCCTTATTTACAGGAGGCACCATGAACTGACAAAGGCATTCTTTCCCATTAAATTCCTTTCCAGCCAACAGGCCAAAGGAGGCTTACAGATGAAACCAATGTTTCCATACCTGTTCTAGAGATTCCCCTGAAATTCAAGAATCCCCCAAACTAGGCTGGTTCTTGGTCTGATGGTTAAGGAAGCTGAATCCTACATGGCCAACTGCAGCTTGAAAAACATGCTGAGTGCATGTACATGGGTGCCTCAAATCCCAACAGGGTGGAGAAATGGAGAAGGGACTGTGGCATGACCACACTCCATGATGGGAGGGAGGGAATGCATTCTTTCTGTCTTTGTTTCTCAGGTGAGTACATATATCCTATGGATAAAAAAAAGTCCCCAAGACCAATAATAAAAAAATTTAGAAGGTAAAATAAGCCAATGGACATTGACTTGTTTGAAAGTAAGAAGTTATTTTTCTTTTTTATTAGCCAATCCAGGCAGATCCTTTCTCAAGCATTCCAATTATCCTGTTCACCCTATAGCTTCCTATCCACTAAAATTCTAGTCATAGAAGCTATCTTGTTTTAGCACTGTTCGAAGATGATTGATCCTGTGTGGAAGGTGAGTAGCCTTGACTACTCCAGGGGTACTTACAGCTCCCATTAAGAGATTTTTTGGTCTAAACAATATGCTAACATTTACTGTAGCATTTTTTATTGCCTGTTGACTATTTCTTCCCACTTCTGTTCTCTCTATCCCACATCCTTGCCCATGCCCAAGCCTTCCTGGCTAAAATGATCAAGGTTCAGCACCAAGCAGCTGAGCTGTCTGGCAATACTGGTGTCTGACTATCACTATGGGGGGCGGGGAAGTATGTGCATACATAATGATTCTCAACTGGATTCTTACATCCAATGGCTAACTTGCAAATGTAGAGCATATTCTATCATTCAAAATTCTTGAAAAATCTGAATTATAATATGTATCAACTGTGTTGGGTATGTTAACTAATACAAAGAATGAGTCTCTATTCTTTTTAAAATAATGATTTTATTTAAACTTATTTACCTTTTTTTAAAAAAACTGACCAGAGAGGGTAGAGTGAGAGTTAGAGTAAGGGGGCCGGGAGGGGGGAGAGAGAAAGCAGGCTGCCAGGTCCAGGACTCAAATTGCAGCAACCACGTGGGAGTCTGGGAACCTTAACCACCACACCATCTGCTGGTCCCTGGGTCCCCATTATAAGGTCTTAAAGACCGTATAATATAGTAGGAGAAAATGTGTGTTCTAAAGAACTTTACTAATATTAATCCTGATAGCAATGATGTAGCTACCACTATCATCCCCATGTTCTACATTAAAAACAAAAACAAAAACACAGAGAGAGAATAAATAATTTGCTCCAAATCAAATAGCTAGTAAGTGGTGAAACTGGGACTTAAACCCAGAATGTACGGCTCATAGTAGTAATAATACTGTTACATATAATTCAAGAGAGTAAGTGATAAGTTCTATGAGAGGTACATGAGCTACTACTGAAAATCAGAGAAGAAAAACTTTCTGCTGAGAGGAGTCATTTTTAGCCGAGCTTATGTAGATTGATGTAGTTTGTACACAAAGGCATTTGAAGTTAATCCTGCTAGCCTTCTTATGCGGTGTTATTCCATAAACTTTTCCCTTTTTCCTCTCTTTTCTAAAGACTGGTTTTCTGAAATGTAATTTAATCATGCCTAAATTTAGGTTTTTTGTTTTTCTTTTTTTAATCTAGGTTTTTAAAAGGAAAAAAAAAAACTGTCCTTCAAAAATACAGCCTTTTCGGGAACCAGCAGTTGGCGTAATGGCTATGTCGCTGGACTCCCACGTAGTCGACCGCGGTTCGTGTCCCTGACCCGGTGGCTTAAAACTCATGCTGGGCGCGTGGGCGTGCGTGCCCAGGATCCTGAGAGGAGAATGGAGGAGAAGAGATTGCGGCGTGACCATCCCCCCTGGGGGATGATTTCTCACTTTCTGTCTCTATGTCTCTCTCTGTCTGTCTGGCGAGCGCACGTGCCCTACAGTGAAAATTTCTCAAAAAAAAAAAAAAAAAAATACAGCCTTTTCCCCTTTCATCATTAAGTTTTCTTTAGAAGAAGACTACACTCATTATTTTCAATTCATTTTCTCCTATCCAGTCATCATTTCTTTGCTTTCTGAATTCTGTACCCATTACTCCACTGAAGTGACTCACTAGGATCACCAATGGCCACAGGACTGCTCAATGGTATGCCCAATGGTCATTTTTTTTTTCTTTTCTTTTTTAAAGCACAGGGGAAGAATCAGTATAAAAGGAGATCTTGAAGAATAGAAACGAACCATAAAGCAAGGCCCTGGGGAGAGAATGAACAGTAACATAGAAGAGCATACTATATTAGCAATGAGGAGGCCAAGAAATGAGTGTGCATATGAAGACAGTAATGCTGAAGGAGATTCTGCTGGATGCCCCCATTGTTTCAGCAGAGGTGGTGAAATGACCTACTGT